GCGTAGTGTACATTAGTCGCCTATATCATTTTCAGATGGTCTCGTCGTGGCACAACCCTTAATAAATGAATTACAATTTTTTCTTTTTAATTTTCAAGAGAATCAGCGGTTTTTTGTACTTGGCCCTTTTTCCACGGACCGGCAAATGATTTTGAATACGGGGTAGTATACCCCTGTCACCTGTACATCATTTCCAGATGGTCTCGTTCTGGCACAGCTCTTAATAAATTAATGGCGATTTTTTTCTGTCTAATTTTAGGTAAAATATCGGTTTTTTGAATCTGGCCCTTTCCTACGGACCGGCAAATGGTTTTGAGCACGGCGTAGTGTACATTAGTCGCCTATATATCATTTTCAGATGGTCTCGTCGTGGCACAACCCTTAATAAATGAATTACAATTTTTCTTTTAATTTTCAAGAGAATCAGCGGTTTTTGTACTTGGCCTTTTTCCACGGACCGGCAAATGATTTTGAATACGGGGTAGTATACCCCTGTCACCTGTACATCATTTCCAGATGGTCTCGTTCTGGCACAGCTCTTAATAAATTAATGGCGATTTTTTTCTGTCTAATTTTAGGTAAAATATCGGTTTTTGAATCTGGCCCTTTCCTACGGACCGGCAAATGGTTTTGAGCACGGCGTAGTGTACATTAGTCGCCTATATATCATTTCCAGATAGTCTCGTCGTGGCACAACTCTTAATAAATGAATTACAATTTTTTTTCTTTTAATTTTCAAAGAGAATCAGCGGTTTTTTGTACTTGGCCCTTTTCCACGGACCGGCAAATGATTTTGAATACGGGGTGTATACCCCTGTCACCTGTACATCATTTCCAGATGGTCTCGTTCTGGCACAGCTCTTAATAAATTAATGGCGATTTTTTTTACTGTCTAATTTTAGGTAAAATATCGGTTTTTTGAAACTGGCCTTTCCCTACGGACCGGCAAATGGTTTTGAGCACGGCGTAGTGTACATTAGTCGCCTATATATCATTTCCAGATAGTCTCGTCGTGGCACAACTCTTAATAAATGAATTACAATTTTTTTCTTTTAATTTTCAAGAGAATCAGCGGTTTTTTGTACTTGGCCTTTCCCACGGACCGGCAAAGTGATTTTGAATACGGGGTAGTATACCCCTGTCACCTGTACATCATTTCCAGATGGTCTCGTTCTGGCACAGCTCTTAATAAATTAATGGCGATTTTTTTCTGTCTAATTTTAGGTAAAATATCGGTTTTTTGAATCTGGCCTTTCCTACGGACCGGCAAATGGTTTTGAGCACGGCGTAGCGTACATTAGTCGCCTATATATCATTTCCAGATAGTCTCGTCGTGGCACAACTCTTAATAAATGAATTACAATTTTTTCTTTTTAATTTTCAAGAGAATCAGCGGTTTTTGTACTTGGCCCTTTTTCCACGGACCGGCAAATGATTTTGAATACGGGGTAGTATACCCCTGTCACCTGTACATCATTTCCAGATGGTCTCGTTCTGGCACAGCTCTTAATAAATTAATGGCGATTTTTTCTGTCTAATTTTAGGTAAAATATCGGTTTTTTGAATCTGGCCCTTTCCCTACGGACCGGCAAATGGTTTTGAGCACGGCGTAGTGTACATTAGTCGCCTATATATCATTTCCAGATGGTCTCGTCGTGGCACAACCCTTAATAAATGAATTACAATTTTTTTCTTTTAATTTTCAAGAGAATCAGCGGTTTTTTGTACTTGGCCCTTTTTCCACGGACCGGCAAATGATTTTGAATACGGGGTAGTATACCCCTGTCACCTGTACATCATTTCCAGATGGTCTCGTTCTGGCACAGCTGTTAATAAATTAATGGCGATTTTTTTTCTGTCTAATTTTAGGTAAAATATCGGTTTTTGAATCTGGCCCTTTCCCTACGGACCGGCAAATGGTTTTGAGCACGGCGTAGTGTACATTAGTCGCCTATATATCATTTTCAGATGGTCTCGTCGTGGCACAACCTTTAATAAATGAATTACAATTTTTTTCTTTTAATTTTCAAGAGAATCAGCGGTTTTTTGTACTTGGCCCTTTTTCCACGGACCGGCAAATGATTTTGAATACGGGGTAGTATACCCCTGTCACCTATACATCATTTCCAGATGGTCTCGTTCTGGCACAGCTCTTAATAAATTAATGGCGATTTTTTCTGTCTAATTTTAGGTAAAATATCGGTTTTTGAATCTGGCCCTTTCCTACGGACCGGCAAATGGTTTTGCGCACGGCGTAGTGTACATTAGTCGCCTATATATCATTTCCAGATAGTCTCGTCGTGGCACAACTCTTAATAAATGAATTACAATTTTTTTCTTTTAATTTTCAAGAGAATCAGCGGTTTTTTGTACTTGGCCCTTTTTCCACGGACCGGCAAATGATTTTGAATACGGGGTAGTATACCCCTGTCACCTGTACATCATTTCCAGATGGTCTCGTTCTGGCACAGCTCTTAATAAATTAATGGCGATTTTTTTCTGTCTAATTTTAGGTAAAATATCGGTTTTTTTGAATCTGGCCCTTTCCCTACGGACCGGCAAATGGTTTTGAGCACGGCGTAGTGTACATTAGTCGCCTATATATCATTTCAGATAGTCTCGTCGTGGCACAACTCTTAATAAATGAATTACAATTTTTTTCTTTTTTAATTTTCAAGAGAATCAGCGGTTTTTGTACTTGGCCCTTTTTCCACGGACCGGCAAATGATTTTGAATACAGGGTAGTATACCCCTGTCACCTGTACATCATTTCCAGATGGTCTCGTTCTGGCACAGCTCTTAATAAATTAATGGCGATTTTTTTCTGTCTAATTTTAGGTAAAATATCGGTTTTTGAATCTGGCCCTTCCCTACGGACCGGCAAATGGTTTTGAGCACGGCGTAGTGTACATTAGTCGCCTATATATCATTTCCAGATGGTCTCGTCGTGGCACAACTCTTAATAAATGAATTACAATTTTTTCTTTTTAATTTTCAAGAGAATCAGCGGTTTTTGTACTTGGCCCTTTTTCCACGGACCGGCAAATGATTTTGAATACGGGTAGTATACCCCTGTCACCTGTACATCATTTCCAGATGGTCTCGTTCTGGCACAGCTCTTAATAAATTAATGGCGATTTTTTTCTGTCTAATTTTAGGTAAAATATCGGTTTTTGAATCTGGCCTTTCCTACGGACCGGCAAATGGTTTTAGCACGGCGTAGTGTACATTAGTCGCCTATATATCATTTCCAGATAGTCTCGTCGTGGCACAACTCTTAATAAATGAATTACAATTTTTTTCTTTTAATTTTCAAGAGAATCAGCGGTTTTTTGTACTTGGCCCTTTTTCCACGGACCGGCAAATGATTTTGAATACGGGGTAGTATACCCCTGTCACCTGTACATCATTTCCAGATGGTCTCGTTCTGGCACAGCTCTTAATAAATTAATGGCGATTTTTTTTCTGTCTAATTTTAGGTAAAATATCGGTTTTTTGAATCTGGCCCTTTCCCTACGGACCGGCAAATGGTTTTGAGCACGGCGTAGTGTACTTTAGTCGCCTATATATCATTTCCAGATAGTCTCGTCGTGGCACAACTCTTAATAAATGAATTACAATTTTTTTCTTTTAATTTTCAAGAGAATCAGCGGTTTTTTGTACTTGGCCCTTTTTCCACGGACCGGCAAATAATTTTGAATACGGAGTGGTATACCCTTATCATCTGTACATCGTTTCCAGATAGTCTCGTTGTGGCACAACCTTTAACAAATTGGTGGCGATTTTTTTTCCGTCTAATTTGAGGTAAAATGGCGGTTTTTTGAATCTGGTCCTTTCCCTACAGACCGGCAAATGGTTTTAAGTATGGGATAGTATACCCTAGTTGCCTAGGTATATATAATGTCCACTTGGTGTGGTGGCGGCACAACCCTTAATAAATGAGCTACAATCTTTTTTCTGTTAATTTTTAGGAGAGTCAGCGGTTTTTTGTACTTGGCCCTTTTTCTACGGACCGGCAAATGATTTTGAATACGGGGTGGTGTACCCTTGTCATCTGTACATCGTTTCCAGATGGTCTCGTTGTGGTACAACCCTTAACAAATTGGTGACTAGTTTTTTTCAGTCTAATTTTTGGTAAAATATCGGTTTTTTGAATCCGGCCCTTTCCCTACGGACCGGCAAATGGTTTTGAGCATGGCGTAGTGTACCTTTGTCGCCTATACCGGGTGTTGCATTGTCGAGCGGGATATAGGAAATCCCATGTAAATTTTAATGGTGTCAATTATTGGCTTCCCTAATTATTTTACAGAATAATTCTATTTAGGTTTATTGAAGAGCACTAAAACCCACATTCAAAAGAATAACTTTAGATATTTTTGATTAGCTCGTTTACGAGTTATCGCCGATTTCTTTTTAAATATTTCTCCTTTCTTATGGCCCTGTATTTACTTATGAGCACCAGTCAAGGTAAAAGCCTATTTAGCCTATTTTACATGTTCTTAGCTGATTTGCGCGCAATGGCAGTGCGCCTGGTCGTTGATCCTGATGTAGAATCGGCCATCTCCCTCTACTTCTTTTAATTAAACGAATTTTTAACAAAGCAATTTTTAAACGTAGCATAATAATCTAGAATAATTAGATTAATTATAGCAATCTAGAGTTTTATTTCTATTTAATTTTATTGGCTATAAAAATACATAATAATCATTCACGTGTTGTGCAAAATATTTGTTTTCTACTGAAAATAATTCCAAAATAACCTGCAATCTGGCAACATTGACGATTGACGATGTGCGCATGCGTAGTATTTGTGACTATATGGCCACCACACCTTTACCCTTAAATTAAATTATTCTTAATTTATTGGTAACCAATTGGTATTATAAACCAAAAAATAAAGATAATATTTAGAAATATGCTCTTTATTATTTTAGGTACCGCCTCTGTATTTAGAAATAAGAATATAATAATATACCTAACCTATACCTAACCCTACTTACCGATGAAAAGTTAAATGTATATTTAAATGTTCCACTCTCTTGCACACAACACACGAGTGTACCATTTTACCATAATGTTTACACATGTCCACAAAATATCATAAACATGTTAAAAACCACAATTAAACAGTACACAACAACACAAAACACCTACCGGCGGAATGGCATAATGCAATTTCAAAAGATATTTAAACTCGAGTTCGAGAGATACAATCATGATACAACGATCCCCATTCACAAAGAATATATAAACAAGGATAAAACCAAATCATAAAACGCTCTAACTAAACCTTCATCACACATTGGTTTGATGGTTTGGGAGAATCAATGAGTGCGAGAGAGAATGGATAGAGAAGGGAATAGGGTATCGGCGCGATGGCGATGGCAACATGCAGGCGTGATGCAGGTTTCAGTGGCGTGCCGACCGACCGAGAGTATTTTAAGGAAATTAAAATAATTGTTTAATAAATTAAAAAAAAAATAATAATAAAACTTACATATTTGTCGCATTGTCAAAAAATAAGTTGAGGAAGGATAGTGAAATAAATAAAAACCGGCATAATTTTGTATTACAAGATGGCTTTTCACATAAGAATAAACGATTAAAAGAATCAAAAAGTGTTTTTTACTTTATTTTACTATATAAAATATCAAATTTTAAGTGTATTAGTAAATGCAGTTTCAATATCTTGTTCCAAACCTTGTTCATCTCCGGCGAATGAGACTCCCTTATTTATTAGCAATAACAAAATAAAATAATTATTTTAACCTAGTAACGCAATATTTTACCAAAAACTAATATTTGTACAGTTAATTATAATGTGTGTGTGATACTCCCAAAGTAATATACTTCAATATTTGAAAAATGTTTTTGTTAAAAACATTTTTCTTTTAAAAGCTTATGGTAATTTAGAAATAGGTAGATTATGACTTTTTATATTTTACATATTTTTCCGATTCTAGTTCCAACATAGTACCTCTTTGGTACATCCTCAGAAAGTCCGTTTTTTGGGTCCGATTTGAGTCCCGATTCGACGTACTCAGGACGTCCCTCTGATGTCTCGGATATTGGGACCAAACTAGGATCTAAAACATCCTCGGGATATCTGTGCTATATGGGCAAAAGCTAAATGTTTGGTGCGGAATACTAATAGGTGATAAAATTATAGGTCCATTTTTAATAGACGGAAATTTGACTGGTGATGTGATGCTTATGTCCTTATGTGGAAATGCTGAACAATTTGATAGAGCCAGCCATTGTAAATGAGGTTGAAAATCAAAGAGATTTGGAAGGAAATTTAACTCTTAATGAAGACCTCATACATTTTCTGCAAGATGGAGCCCCTCCGCATTATTCTATTGTCATAAGGCGGTGGTTGGATAGAAATTATCCAAGGTAATGGATTGGCAGAAGGGGACCAATCGAGTGGCCGCCAAGGTTACCTGATCTCACTCCTTTAGACTTTTTCTTGTGGAGTTACACTAAATCCATACCTAGTCTACAAGACAAAACCATAGAACAAAACCATCAGGTTCGTTGCAAGAATTGCGGCAGAGGATAACTGATGAAGCCATGTAGAAATATTCCGAGAGAGACTTTCCAAAAAGTGAGAGAAGAATTTGATTAGACACTTTAAAATTATTTGGAAAACGTACAGAGTGTCCCAAATAAATAAAAAATATGAAAGTTGTATTTTTTAATAAGGAACACCCTGTATATTATTACATTTTTAGTTTCTACGATTAAAATAAAGGTAAATTTGATTAAGATTTATTATACTTAAACCTTACCGTTTTTGAAATATTTTCAATTTTGTGAAATTGCAGTATAAATTTTAAGGCTTCATTTCTCCCAGGGTATCAAAGTTTTTAATACTAAATATTTACTGAAGTTTATTTACTGATCAGTTATTGTGTTGCAATAATTATTACATTTTTAGTATTTACGATTAAAATAAACGTAATTTAATTAAAGTTTGTCGCACTTTAATCTTTCCTTTTTTGAAATATTTACGATTTTGTGAAAAAACACTAACAATTTTAATGCTTTATTTCTCTAAGCATATTTATGTTTTTAAAACCAAATATTGTACCGAAGTTTTTGTATTTACTAGATTTTGTGTTGCAATAATAAAAATAATACTACCTCATACAGAGTGTCTAATGTAATCATGCAACATTTTATGCTTTATCTAATTATGTAAAGAAAAATTGGGGTGCAATTAAAAAAATAAAGCTTTATCATAACTTTTTTTGGGACACACTGTAGGTATACAACGAAATATTTTTTTAGGACATACACCATTTTAAACCATACAACATCTGTATAGAACTTTTTTTCATAACTTTGTCAACAACGACGATATTGGACATTCTCCCACTAATGCGCCACCCGCCACCCTGTATATTTTCCAAAGGGGCGCGGGGCGCCTAGCGGCAGTAAATATTTTTATATTTCTTTTAAGTCACCTTTAACCTTAATAATAGATATAAAAATAGCTTATGCATATTTAAGCATTTTTTTTAAACTCAAGATTAAAATTTAATTTTTTGTGATACAAATCGCAAGGTCATATTTCATATAGAATAAAAATATGATAAAAAGTTCATTAAGTTTTGGAATAAGTATGAAATTATGCAGTTTAATTTGTAATAGTCAATTCAATACGGAAATTCAAATAAAATATATTATCTGGAAAAACACCCCTGCACTATTCAGTAAGTTATCTATAATAAAGTTATGACTATTTTTAAGAAATTTGAAGATTTTAGAACACATTTATGTTCAAAAAAATGTCTTAATTTAGAAATTTTGCATAATTGCTGAGTGTCCAGCAAATTGCATCGGGTCGACCCACTGTGCGCCTTTCCGCATTTTTTAGTATATGAGGGTATAAGTGTGTTTTGTGGTTACAGAATAACTATTTGTGGTATAAGTATTGTATCAAGCTAATTTAATACAAAAATACAATAATAAACACAAAATAAATAATTTTTCATATATAAAGGTAAAACATAGATTCTTGAAGTACATACATAAATTAAGTTTGAAAATAATATTGATAGTAAACTTAAATTTTATTTAAATTAGTAAAAAGCACCACAAACATAAATATAATAAACACACTATAAGTATTAGACGAGTATTTTTCTTAAAACCTATTGTCCTATCTAAAAGAAAATCACAGTTCTGCTCAAATCAGCAAAGTATCGAAGTCTACATTTCAGTAAGGATCATCTACAACACTAACGAAAGGTCATAACTGCCTGCTCAATGCTTGCAGAGAGCATTCCCTGTTTCGCTTGGTCACAGCTCGCTTCAAGTCATCACTGATATTTTTCGGCAGGCTCAACTGTTCAACATCATCTTCCTTCAGTATGTGATTCCTCACAGTGAGTAAACTTAAAAACCTCAAACTGTACATTGGAAGGGTAATATACGCTCTAACTCTGGCTTCGTGGTTTTCGGGGTAATTGTTGCGATCAGGATATCTAAAAAGTTAATAATTATATGGCAGAACTTTAAAGTAATTACTATTATACCTTAACTGAATAAATTCCCTTGTGGTTTTGGGATGATAAAAGAACCTTTTATCTATGTGCAGTTCGTCTTTGGTCAAGAAATCTTTGGCAGTCCACGGATGAGTTTTGTAAGTATTCACATCAATAAAATTGCCTTTTTCTAAAATCCTGTATCGTACGTATTGGCCTATGAAGTTGATCCACATGATTTCTACGGTTCTTTCGGTCATATTGACGAAACGCACGTAACATTTTTGTGTACTATGAACCGAACGTGGATTTTCATCGTTATTTTCCTGGATATTATTCATTTTCAAAAAATTCTAATTCAAAAATCGATTTAGGAATTATCGATCATAGATGGCCGTGCAGCCAATGGTAATACAGGTTTCTTTAATTAAATTTTTCGACACGAAGCCCACTGTGTTTTGTGTAGTTTTATGAATATAATTTTTATGTAAAAATGGCAGTATGTGCGGCCATAGTTGGGAAAGAAGTAAGTTATTTAATTCCTTACACACTTATAATCATTTTCAGTTAAAACAGATCACAAATATCGCAAAATCTTTAACTTTTTTAGTAATAAACACACAGCCTCTACGAAAACAAAAATATTTGACGTTTTGACAGAACGCAGATGTTTTTAACTTTCGTACGTTGCCAAATTTATTATTTTATTTTTAAAATTGTTAGCTAATTAATACTGTTATCATTACTATAGACTTTAATTGTAATTTATATTAAATAAAGACAAGTTTTTTTGGAGATTTCGTTAATTAGACTTCTTTCAACGTAATTATTTCATAATTAAACTTGAACGCTGTTGCCAGATTACACTTTTTTTCTAGAATTCTCCGAAATTTTTTTGTTGTGTTAATCCAGATGAAGAATTAAATTTCCAATATAAAGTTTTATCCTCTCTGGACATCATCGAAGAGAAACTGAACCCTACAAATAAACCGGGCACAGAAATAAAAGAATTGTACTTGGGAATGTTATATTCTTTGGAAACTTGCAAAATGTATCCTTTTTTACCTAACAGAGTGATACGTTTTATCTATTTTATTTTCTTTAATTATAAAATTAGATATGGATATGTTACTAATACTAAAATTAAGTTTATAATTGTTGTGGATTCCTCAAACTTACAATTAAGAGATAATGAGATCAGATCTGTAAGTTTTTTCGTTTTTTTTTTGTAATCAAAAGTTTTTCAGGAAAAAATATTTTTAGATGTTCTCAAAAATACATTCTGAATATGCTGATATGGTTAGTAATCCTTTTTACACACCTGGTGAGCCCATTACCTCAAAGTATGTATTAAATAATATTTAGTATTTTGAAAAACAGTTTTTTTAATATTTTTAGGCTGTTTGCTTCCAGCATCAAAAATATCATTACAGGAACTGTTTAGCTTGTAAAAACGTTGGTACCTTTTTAAATAAATGTAAGTTAACTTGTTTTATTCTTTATTAACACCTTTACAAGCAAAAATGTGACATTTTTCTCCAAATAATGTCATGTTTGATGTTTTTTCCCAAACTTTTTTGTGTTGCAAAAAGTCGCAATACACTATGCTAGACCCGTTGGAGTGTTGCATGGGCTATACCAGTGATCAAGAAAAATCTAGTAAAGATGGTAAAAACACTAAAGATAAAAAGAAACACCAGCAAGGCTCAGAAAATGAAAACGAAGATCATGTTCAGTACGTGTTGAGTACGTGATAATCATGGGTGATAATAATTTTAAAATAAATCATATGGCGCTCTCTATCGGGAAATAGGTAAACTAATACGCGTTTTGCGCTATCTGTGTAGAAGTTTTGTCACTAATTCGGTCCAGTTTTTGCCCAATCGGGAAGATGACAGCACTGACAAGTGCTTTTTGACAGTCACGTGAAAATTTAACGATCAGCTGTCTTTGCGGGAGTGGTTGAAGTGGTGAATTTTCTTGATTTTTCATTGAAAAAGTCCCGCGAAACAGGTAAATTCAACGTCCGCAATTCATTTGAATTGTTTTCTACGGAATCCAGCGAAAAAAACGGGTTGTCGAAGTGTACTAGAGCCAAATCCAAGCTGAGTAGTTATCGATTCGGGAGCAGTACTGGCCTTGCAACCCCCGTATGCCACAAATAGGGGTTGCTGAATTATTTTCAAAGGCCATCATCGGTAAATAGTGTGTGGTTTATTAGTTTGCCAGGCCCTAATCTGGTTTGTTTGTATTGCCACCTAACTCAGGTCTAATTTTGTTGTGTTTTTCTCGTTTTAATTGCATCCACCGCCCTTGTGCTGCAGGGTGTTTGTTTTATAGGCATTTTCAAGTGCTTTCGAGAGCTGTAATAAATCGTATTTTTAACTACTATCGATAATATTGCCGTTATAATTAATGGTTTCACAGTCATGTGACAAAATGTGTGATCACTAGTATATTACATATTTTTGAAAAAAAGTTATTTAAAGAGGCTTAATTAAAATTTAATAATGTTTTTAGTAAGCACAAGGACCCCCACAAAGAGCCCAGCGACGAAGAAGACATAAATATGACGGAGTATTGGTTGATATCGGCACCAGGGGACAAGACGTGCCAACAGACATGGGAAACGATGAACAATCTCACGGCCAAGCAAAATTCCTTGTGTGTAAATTATAAATTTCAAATTCCGGACCTCAAGGTAGGGCAACATGACTTATACTGGGTTCGTCCCAAAAGTGGCTATTCCTATAACTTTTTTATTTTTTCAGATAAAAAAATTAGATTTGGTATGTTAGTATATAACATAAATTAGGTTAGATTGGCATATTCAATTGTTTTTGGTCACTTCCTGTTTCACCGGAAATGACTACAACTTTTGATTTTTAAATGACACCTTCTGTATTTTTTTACTTTATTCGATAGAAAATGACATTCTGAATAGAATGACATATTGTATGTTAACTTTTGACATTGTTGCTTATTAAAAAATCGTATTTTAAAATTCAATCTAGAGTGCCATGGCTATGTTAAAAACACTAATTCTTAATCAAGAAGCCTTAGAAAAATAGATTTGATTGTCTAATGAGTTTACTATCTTATCCTAGCCAGTTAGAAAATACTCAAATTGTATTTTTAATCATATCTCAATTTTTTCAAACAGAACGAGGGTGGCTCATTAGCATATTTGGAAAAAAGCATTTTTTACGAATAATTTGATACTACACACTTGGTATATTTCGAGTAAAATTTTCGTTACGAACCGCAAGTTATAATTTCAAATAAACCATATGCGAAAATGTCAAAAGTTGACATATGATATGTCATCCTATTCACAGTGTCATTTTCTATCGAATAAAGTAAAAAAATACCGAGGGTGCTATTTAAAAATCAAAAGTTGTAGTAATTTCCGGTGAAACAGAAAGTGACCAAAAACAATTGAATACGTCAATCAATCCTAATTTATGTCATATACTAACATACCAAATCTCGTTTTTTTTAATTGAAAAAATAAAAAAGTTATAGGGTGAGCCACTTTTGAGACGCACCCGGTATATTGGGATATATATGGTAGGTTCAAGATATTTGGAGAAATATGGAAAAACGGTTTATTTTATGTGTCTCAGAAATTTTTCTGCTTGATTGAAGTACCCTATATGTACCCTGAAAAATATTGATCACCAAATGCAATAGTAGTGTTATATTTATTGTTTTTTGTTATCTATTTCAAGGGTTTAGTTCATTAACTTGTATAGAGAACATGTTTTTTTATATTTTAACAACTATTGATGTTATCTTGTGCCCCTATTTCTCTATTTTTAGATTCTATATTATATTTATTCCATAATAACAGGGCAACATGAAGGCTATTCGAGTTGAATATTTAATAAACAGCTAAAAATATATAAGTATTGTTTTTTAGTGGTGTATTTTTTAGGTTGGTACTCTGGATCAGCTGGTGGGTCTCTCCGATGACCTTGGCAAGCTGGACGGATTCGTTGAACAGGTGACCAGGAAGGTGGCTTCGTATTTGGGGGAAGTACTGGAAGACCAGAGGGATAAGCTTCAAGAAAACTTGACGGCTAATAACAGTAAGTACACGTAAGAACAATTCTAGTAATTTTTTAAAGATTTTTTCCGACTTAACATATTATTTGATAGTTTGATAGTTTCTTATTTGGTGCAGGCATGGGATATCTTGAAATCAGATCAGTGAATGTTATTTATCGTTTTTCTTTTGTTGTGTTCGTTTTTCTTATACAAGGTATTTCAAAAAACATGTGCCATTTCTAGTGGGGAGGTTCCTCACGTAAAAATGAGATTAGTATTTTTTATATCAACATAGGTCTGATTCTGATTTGTTTCATAGCTACAGGGTGTTAAAGTCTTATTTTTTTAGATTTATTATAATTTTCTTCCAAGTTAATCACAACAAAAATAATAAAATTATATTTATTTATTCTAATTTATTCGAGAATTTATTATTAAAGTATATTTAAATTTATTACACTGATATTCAGTTCTACCTACAGAATATAAAAAAATAATGGTATTTGAGGTAATCATAATTACTAAAGACCTGTTTTTTAAAAGTTTTATCATCCTGTACCTTTAAAACTATGCATGTCAGGACTTTCTTAGCATTAAAGTACGTCGAACTTATAGTAAGTTTTACTCTGAAAATTTCCTTTGAATCACTAAAAGCACTTTGAAGAAAATTATAATAAATAAAAAAAAACTAACCCCCTGTAGCTACGAAATAAAACAGAATCTGACCTATATGGATATAAAAAAAATATATTTTTACTTGAGGAATCTCTCCGCGAAAGATGGCATATGTTTTTTGAAACCACCTGTATATTTATTCAGAGTATGTGTCTTGAAATATTTTTGATTTTGTTTGAGGATAACCATCACAGAGGGTCCTAGATGGGTATGTCAGAAATTAATCTGTCAAAGGTCAAAAAACTGTTTTTTATTATCTAATTTCTGTTAATTTTTTTGGCATACAATGAAGTGGCGTCTAGGTCCGTCTTTACTTAATATAATGGTTATTTCTTCATCTTAACAAGATTTTATTTTTTTTATACTAATTTTATTATTTATTGTGGGGGAAAACATAATATGTTGTTGTGTTCATAAAACTTTGAAAGACAAGCCGTAACAGTTATTGAAATAGATATTTTTATTTATTTATTCTTTTTATATTAATTGAAGAACGTATTTTTTCTATATTGTGTTTTAAATATGTTTATTTAACTAGTTGAATTTTCGTAGTGAGAAGCTGAAGAATAGATTTAACTTAGAGAAAGAATCAGTTTGTGTATCTTATTCTTACCAACACACGTTGACACAGAAAACACTGAGATTTATATGATAGCCGGGAGGGGGCGTTGATTTTAGTATGATTTGGCAACACTGCGTTTGGACAGTGGTGGCGTTTTTTTTTTGTTTGTCTGGGGTCTGTAAAACAGGATTTTTCAACTTAAATCACTTGCAACATAGCTTTTTATGGTAAGGAATTATACAGGAATATACCTGGTTCGTATCAAAAGTGGCTCACCCCGGTAACTTTATTTTTTTAGATAAAAAAAACGAGATTTGGTATGTTAGTATATGACATCAATCAGTATTGATTGACATATTCAAATTGTTTTCGGTCACTTCCTGGTTCGCCGGAAATGGCTACAACTTTTGATTTTTAAATGACACCCTCTGTATTTTTTTACTTTATTCGATAGAAAGCTACACTCTGAATAGAATGACATATCGTATGTGAACTTTTGACATTTTTGCTTTAAAAAAATTACATTTTAAATTTTAAAGTGCCGTGGCTGGCTGTGTTAAAAACACTAATTTTTAATCAAGGAGCCTTGGAAAAATAGATTTGATCTTCTAATGTTTTTCTGGCTGGTTAAAAAATGGCCAAATCGTATTTTTAATTATATCTCATTTTTTCATATGGAACGAGGATGGCTCATTAGCATATTTGGCACCACACACCCCACACTTGGTGTTTCGAGTCAGATTGTCGTTATGAACTGCACGATACAATTTCAAAAAAAAAAAACATACGAAAATGTCAAATGTTGACATGGGATTAGAGGTGGGAATTCTAGTTCCTTGGGAGGAACTAGTTCCTTTGTTCTAGTTCCTCCAGAGGAATAGTTCCATGAACTAGGTCTTTAGTTCACAATAATTCAAGACTAACATTGACATCCCCGTTGCTTGCTAATGGGTTTCGTTGTCAGTTAGAACTATTCACAGTATGATCTGTATAATTTTTATAATGTAAGGGAAATATAGCGAGACGTGTAATTGTCACATAAGTCTTATTGCACATAAGTCTTATTGCAGATAAAAAAATTAAAAAAGAAATTCAAATCAGAGTTTAAAAAACTATCATCATCATCATGTAGCCATCGTTGTCCACTGCTGAACGTAGGCCTCCTCCATATTTCTCCATGTCTCTCGATTTTGGGCCGTCATCATCCAATTTCCAGCAATCCTCTTTACATCATCGGTCCAGCGTGTCGGTGGTCTGCCTCTGCTACGTTTATCTGCTCGAGGTCGCCATTCTAACAATCTTCTAGTCCACCTGTCTTTGGATGTTCTCACCACATGACCTGAAACTATATCACAAATCAATTGGAGCAAATATTACGAAAAGTTTACGAAAAATTACATTTTTCCTCACTTCCTCACTTCAAGCTTGTCTAAAAATTCAGAATATCTACTTCGTTTTATAAGATATTTCTTAATTTTAGGGACCTAAAGTGAAACATTCCCATAAAATATTTAAAGAACCAACTAAAAGTCAAAAACAGTATCCACGACAATTTTCATCGTCGCCTTGTAATATATCTCGGATCTACCGACTGACTAGATTCCCGTGAACTAGTCTTTTAATTAGTTCCTCTATGTCCGAATCCGATAACATACGGCTGGCACTCCCCACGCCTGCAAGGCTAGCATCAATCGCGCTGGTCGATCCGTACGTAAACTAGTCTTTTATTTAGTTCCTCTAGGTCCGGATCCGATAACATACGGCTGGTACTCCCCACTCCTGCCTAGCATCGGGCTACGCGTGCTGGCCTATCCGTCGCTGTCGCATATTATTATATATCGGTCACAGTCTCGATCCCGGAATAGGTCCTGAGGAACTAGTTCTTTGAGAAACCAGGAACTAGTTCCTTTCATTCCAGGGTCGGAATAGTTCATTGGAACTAAACATGTGATATATCCTTTTATTCAGAGTGTAATTTTCTATTGAATAAAGTAAGAAAATACCGAGAGTGTCATTTAAAAATCAAAAGTAATAGTCATTTCTAGTGAAACAAGAAGTGACCGAAAACAATCGAATACGTCAATCAATCCAGATTTATGTCTTAATTTGCCCATTATGTATTATTATTTGTCTATTTATGTATTAAACGTACTAAATCTCGTTTTTTTTATCAGAAAAATTAAAAAAGCTATAGGGGTGAGGCACTTTTGAGAAACATCCGGTATATATCTCTGGGAGTACATCCACAATATCGATTGCATATTACAGAAAAAAAGCTTTGTTTTACCAACTTCTGGTCTCATTGGCGCATCACAGTTAAACGAGTTTTGTACGTTTTCTTTTTACACACTGGCGCGCGCCACTGACATCCTTAGATCTTATAAACTAAAGAAAATTATAAGAAAAAAAAGAGGTTTATAAGATCTAAGCTGAAATCAGACCCGTTTCTCTATCTCTTTCTCTCTCGCGCTCCGTTTTCGCGCGCACCAATCAGGCGATCGCCCGCCTCGCAAGGCCCCTCCCCCTCGACGCCGTTTCTCCATGAGCAAGCGCCGTCAACAGCATGCCCACAACAACAACAAAAGGACCAACGCCCCGCCCACGACCACTACAGACCACGCCCGTCGTCACGCCCGCGCCCTGGGCTGTTCCGCGGCCTGCGACGGGTGCCTGGCCTTGCTGGCCTCCCACACGCGTCCCCCCGATCGTGGGGAGGGCGGGGGAGGCGCCCACCGAAGTCCCTGTTCGACGGAGGACGAAGAGGAGGAGGAGTATAAGAGTAGGGAGGGCGTGGAGACCCCGCCCACTGCTAGTTCGGCGGTTGGTTCGGGCGATGAAAAGGAGGCGGAACATGGGGACGACGTGGAGACTGAGCCGAGCGGCTACGCGCATCCTGTGGTGGGGCCAGGTCAGTGGGAGGCCTGTGCTGAGGAGAGACGCCGCCAGCGCACCCTGTAGGGCTTTACCAAGCACGCGTCTTTATCCAAAAACTGTTTTTATTTTAGTTTTCTTTCTATTTTAACAATTTTTTTTTCGATTTTTTTTGTTTTAGTATTATTTTAATTGTTCCGTATATAAGGTGTTTCAAAAAACATGTGCCATCTCTCGTGGGGAAATTTCTCACGTAAAAATAAGATTTATTTTTCATATCAACATAGTTCCGATTCTGCTTTGTTTCGTAGCTACAAAGTGTTAAAGTTTTAATAATCTTTCGATTTATTATAATTTTCTTCCAGTTACTTTTAGCGTTTCGAATAAAATTGAGGGTAAAAGTTACTATTAGTGACATATGTTATTACTAAAAAAGTTGAGATAAATTCACCAGGGACGTGCATATGGGTTATCAGTGGAATATTTTTTTCAAAAAAAAATGTGCGCCAATAACTTTTTTCTTTTGATATCAAAATTGTGTACATCACATTAATCACATTTAATAAAATTAAAATAAAAGTAAAATTAATAAATCATATATTTTACCTAATTTATTATTAAATATTATTAATTATAATTTTCTTCCAAGTACTTTTAGCGTTTCAAATGAAATTTTGAGGGTAAAAGTTACTATAAATGCGACATATTTTAATGCTAAAAAAGTGTCGACATATTGACCAGAGACGAGCATATGGGTTATCATTGGAATATTTTTCTAAAAAAAGCATGTACGTCACTGATTTTTTCTCTTGTTAGCGAAATAGTGGAAGCAGTTTAATGCCGATTAAAAGTTGTCTCTTGATGTTTTGTCGATTTCGGCCTCCTTGGTGAAATAAACGCAAAAGTATTTATTGATTAACTCGTCAAAAAACATGAAATCATGTTCTTATAAACATGGGTCTAGAAATGCATAGTTTCAGAGTTACAGGATGTTAAAACTTTTTAAAATTAGTTTTTTTGTAATTAACTTAAATACCATTATTTTTTATTTGAAATTGCTGTAGGTTTGACTAATAGTAATAATAACTAATAGTAATAATTTATAATAAATCGAAATATTATTAAGACTTTAACACCCTGTAGCGACGAAAGAAAGCAGAATCGGACCTATGTTGATATGAGGAATCTCCCCACGAGAGATGGCACATGTTTTTTGAAACACCCTGTATAGATGATGTGATGAGCGATCTTGGTACACAAATCTTTGTTGTTATCTAGCATTTTAAGGGATTGTAGATATGGTAAAAAATATTATCTATTTGTAATTTTTAAAGTAAATGACTTATGATGAAATTAGTGTTATTAAACTTATTTTTACATAACGTGTTATGTAAAAATTTATAAAATTATTACTTATATTTTGAGAATCCAAAAGCATAAACCGACAATGAGCTGGATCTCAGCTTATTTCATGCCCTGTGTTGCCACATTCTCAAAAAAGTATATACCTAACATAAATTATCTTCCAAATTTGTTTGAATAATAATGCGGTAAGATAATATTCTGCAAATGAAGTGGGGCAACATTGAATGGCCTCGAATGTACGGAGAATGTACCTGCGACACTAAAAAAATTTTTAGGGCAAGAAAAAAACGGTTTTTTTTTTCGTTGTCACAACCTTAAAAAAGATTCTGCGTACCAAGCTTCTACATCACTCTGTATATTGGCCGTTCTTTTCTTTCTCTCTGTTGTGTCCGAAAGGCTGTGTGCATCAACCAAGCGAAGGTCAATGACTTTAAAAAACTACAAATCAAACACAACAGTCTAGTATAGAGTCTAGGTCTACATTCTTTACACCTCTGTATTTTACACACTATCAAATCCAACACAGACCGAAAATAAATCGAAACCACCAATATACTAACCCTCCGTTGGCTTGAGTCCTTGTCCTATTGTTGTCCAAGTCCCAAAACAAAGGTTAAGGGCATCAAAAGGCATCCATCTCTAGACATTTTTTTAAGTCAAACAACGCTCTAGGGTTGTGTATTAGTGAGATGGTGCTGGCAATGCCCTCTACCTTCCGTTAGACGCACCCGTAGCTTCTCTGCAACCTGGTGGAAAAGGTTTGCGACTTGACTAACCCGAAAGCAGTATTATAATATTACCGGCAGGGTCCATGCAGTGGTTTTCACGTGGCTATGACTTGAAAATAAGGCGTATGAGTGGTGATTTGTGACGTATTGCTGGGTTTTTAATGATAATGATGGGTGGTTTACGTCCATAGATGGCTGTAGTTTTTTTTAGTGAGTCTAACAAACCAGAGATGTCGTTATTGGGTTTTTGAAGTAAGGACTATTTCTTGCAAATATTTTAATTGTATAAATAGTCAACATTACAGTACAAAACGAATGTACAGTTCATACCAAATAAACTTTTAGTCACGTGATTAAGCTTGACCGGTACAGCGTTGCCCAGTTTAATATATTTCCTTTTAATCAAAATATTTTATGAAACAAAAATAAATTAATTATAAATATATAAACAGTTATTATTTTCATCAACAAAATTCACCTTCTTTACAGCATTTAAGGGACATAAAGGGCCATTACTACCGCTTTCCCGTCCAAAAATATTCTAATAAACTTTGAGTTTTTACGGCTATTAAAGCTATCTTGTACCACTTCGCAGTAGTCTGCTAGTAAACATTTTCAAGCTTCTTAAAAGTATCACAACACTATTTACTTAAACCAAAAACTCGTAATACAAAACTAAATGTCAAACCGAATGACAGTGTCACCCTGTAGGAATAAACCAAGAATAAAAAAAATAGGAAATAAATAAATAAATGCGGCAACTCGACATTTTTTACAGCAGAGCCACCACCTGAATCCCCAGCACGAATTTTAAATTCCAGTTAGTCAGCACAGCGCCGAATATGTCCAGGGTTGGCAACTATGAATTTAAAAATCGCGCTCCCGATTACGTAACTAAAAGTTTAATTGATATGAAATATAGCTTAGATCTTACTGTGCTTGAGCGTTGTGATCTCTTTTACAAAGGCAATTCTGTGAGATAGATTCGGGTATAACATGAAAACATAACCTTTCTCAAGTTAGTAATTTGGACATATACCTTGAATCACCCTATATATTTTTTAGTTTTAAAAATCATAACTATTAAACTTTACAATTTATATTAGTTAGAGCATCTTTATCATTAATTTCAGCAATACCGTTATAAGTCACCTCTATCGTTGCGCTGTTTTTTTTTTTAACATAACCTATAATTCATACTTAACAAAAGTAGTTAAAAAACTAACATAGTTACTTAACATTCTTCTGTCCAAGGCAATTGATCAGTTCCTGTTACGTACCGCTAGTACTGCTATTTTGCTGCCGCTATATACCATCTCGCTGCTTCATTAGGCTTCTGTAGGCGGTTAGATTATATGAAAACGCCCTGTGTACGATAGCTACTACTCTTTAGTATTATTATTACTAAACATTTAACATCCATATAGTGTTAACATCCAATCGCCCCGATTTTAGTACCCTTATACATATCCCCCCAAGCCCCTACTGGTTACCGTTATCCCCCCCTCCAACACAGTTGTTCGCTTATCTTATTTTAGTTTGACAGAGTCCCGTCAGGGGCGCTGAGCGCCGTGCTACTCAGGTGAGTACCGAAACCATCCAGCCAATCAGAAGGTCTGGTACCGCTTGGCCTGGCCACCAATCACAAGAGATCTCTTTGCCGTTCTATATTCGGATTTTTAGTATGATTAATCTTTGGTTAAAATAACAATGATTTTAATTTTTTAAAACTCTGAATTTCTAATGTATATATAGCTATGTGGAGAACATATAATCCGAGTATAGATGCGCACAGGGCGACACATAGTGGCAGGAACTCTCTACTTGCCCCGTTTGGATCAGTTTTCTACCAACTTTTATCGAGTCTTGCAAAGGTTTTCCCCCAGACGAGTATTTTTGTTGTATCGTATTGTTTTTTTGATTGTTTACATATTTCGAGCGCACCCTATAGATGTCTATAGCGTCTCTTTTGATCGTTTTTGTTGTCTATATACATTCAGAGCCATCTATGAAGTTATACGTGCACTATCAAATCAAAGAACCCATTTTTTATCAGATTTTATATTTTATCATATTTTATACATATTCAGGGTGGTCAAATTTTTAGTAGCAGTCGATAGAAAAACTGGTTTGTTTTCAAGTACTGCTAGTAAAAAGTTATTCACCCTCTATATTTGTTGCAAAATTATTTAACTTCCTCAGTATCTTTAATACTAATGTTGGATATGGGTCCTTTTATTTTATAGTCTACCATATAATCTGATAAAATTTTATTCAAGTTGGTTTATAATTTGTGAGTTAGTTCTAAGCCAAACCAACTCGAGTAAAAATTTAATTAATCATATTTACTGTTCCATATGATGAAGTACAGTATAGTCAACATAACATGAACAAAAAAACTCGGTTGGTGAATTTTTGTGACCCTCATATTGTTTTTTTTTAATTCTTTTAATATGTAAGCATTTATGATACACTCTGTATATTTTGTCTGTTTTGTTTGAATAATAATAGGTATATTATTTTTCATCAATTTTTATTAATCAGCTAAAAAACAAGAGTTCCGGTTATTCTGGCTATACTGTACCTTTATTTTTTTCACTGTATTTCCTAATCAACTCACCATCTGTTCCGTAGCTGACCTGCCGAGCTACCTGACCAGGTTCCAGTGGGACATTGCCAAATACCCGATCAAGCAGTCCTTGAGAAACATCGCTGACATTATCAGCAAACAAGTGGGTCAGATCGATGCCGACTTGAAAACCAAGTCTACCGCTTATAACAACTTGAAGGGCAGCTTACAGAGCTTGGAAAAGAAACAAACGTAAGGAAAAAACGTCTATTTTTTAGTAGTTTTTGAGTATTGGGCTATATTTAAAAAACATCGATAATTTTTCGATTTCAGTGGCAGTTTGCTGACCCGTAATCTGGCCGATCTAGTGAAGAAGGAACATTTTATTTTGGACTCTGATTATCTGCAGACTTTGTTGGTGATTGTGCCTAAGTAAGTGTTTTGGCGTACTATAGTATCGGTAAAAATAAAGTTTTTTTTCACCTTAGAGCGTCTTTTGCCGATTGGAATGCCACCTACGAAAAAATCACCGACATGATCGTTCCTAGATCGTCTCAGTTGATCACGCAAGACAACGAATATGGCCTGTACACAGTCACGCTGTTCAAGAAGGTGATTGACGAGTTCAAGCATCATGCTCGCGAGCGCAAGTTCATCGTGAGAGACTTCACTTACGACGAGGAACAGTTGGCGGCCGGCAAAAGCGAGATCACTAAGTTGACCACTGATAAAAAGAAGCAATTTGTAAGCATTTTGACCAAAAAATTGAAAAATCCATTAATTTTCACGTTACCTATTTTTTTTTGAAATTTGTACATTCCTAATATCGATTTTTTTTTGTAAGGGCATCGATAATTTTGCACATCTCTACGTCGAAGTCTTCCAGTTAAAGGGAATTCTCCAGATATTAATATTAAGGTCCTGAATTATTTAAACGGAGCTTTTTAAATTGACGCGTTTTAAAAATCGATTTTTTACTAGAATATCGATAATTTGGCTCATCTCTACATCGAATCGTTTAAATCGAGCAATCCAGCATTTCTTAAGTTAAGATTTTTTTATTGTTGTCCCCTCCTAATATCGATATTTTGCAAGAATATCGAAATTAATCTGTAAGTGCCTCAGTTAAAATGAATCCCAGCCATAGAAGTTAATTTCAATAGTATTATAGTTACTCATCACTAATATCGAAGTTTTTGACAATATCAGGACTCTGAATTTCTTACGTGGATCTTATTATGGTGACATGAGTTTAATGTTAAGAATTTTCATTAGAATGTCGATAATTTTGCACATCTCTACTTCAGAATATCTCAGTTAAACGGAATTTCAGCACACTGATACTTAAAATGGAGTTTTTTAAGTTGACACTTTTCTAAAATTGAAATAAATGACCAGATTTATCAATAATTTTATACATCTCTAGGAGGTACATTGTTTTAATTTCAAGTAATTTTAAGATTTTTTTTTATTTGTCTATTATCGATGTATTACAAGAATATCGATAATTTCGCACATCTCTAGTTTGAGGTACAGTGTTGCCACGTCTTTCTTTCTTTTTTCAGGGTCCCCTGGTGCGTTGGCTGAAGGTAAACTTCAGCGAGTGTTTCTGCGCGTGGATCCACGTGAAAGCGCTGCGCGTTTTCGTGGAGTCTGTGCTGCGCTACGGCCTACCCGTCAATTTCCAAGCCATTCTCATCCACCCCAACAAGAAAACGATGAAGCGACTCAGGGACGTCCTGAATCAACTGTACGGCCACTTGGACGGCAGCGTGGGCCACCAGGGCTCGCACGTCGACAACGTCGACATTCCCGGCCTGGGTTTCGGCCAATCAGAGTATTATCCCTACGTTTACTACAAAATCAACGTCGACATGATCGAGTCGAAGGTCTAGGTTCGATGAACAGGCAAAAAACACAATATTCCATTTTTAATATTAATTCCTCCCGTAGATTTTTCTTATACACTTATAAGTTCGAGGTAAAATTGTCCCTTTTTTCGTCCCTAAACGTCCGGAATTTTTGCACGAGTTGACAACGCTGTAGCCAACGAAATTACCGGAATCTTCTGAAAATTTACGCACATCGGCAACATTGCAAGAGACAATTTTATCTCTGATTTTGAGAGCGTCCATTCAACTATTATTATTAAGTCTAAATTCAATTTCAAACAATAATAATGTATAGTGTAATAAATAAATGGGGCTCTAGCGAAGGCCCAGACGTTTCTCAGCAACTTTGGGTAATATTTGTTTGTAATTTGTATAAAAAAATAAGCAGTATTTTAACTCATTTGTAAATATCATGTAAATATTTGCAGCAAAATAAATAGAAAGGGACGTGTTAAATAAGGTCCTTTTAATAAATAAATACATACGGCTGTTGCTATTAAATATTTTCTTCAAAACTCTTCTATGATTAATAGGGAAGCAAAAATAATAAGAAAAAAGCCTTAAATAGAAATATTAGTTGAAAAAATTATATATATGTCGCCGTATTACAAAATGAATTGATAATAATAAATAAACCTTTGTTGTTGAAGGTTTTTCCTCTTTTTTTTTGATGAAAAAATATACTTATATAAGACCGTTGTTGAAAGATACTGGTGTAAAATTTATATTTAACTTGTTTTAAACTTGTATTTGTTAGAAATAAACATTATTTTAGAAGTTCTTTTTTGTCACAGCTAATTTTACTACTATAGGGATAAAAAAATAAAAATTTTGCAGACAATGCTAAAACCCTACATCCACGGCACTGGTTGCTTCCGACATTGAAACAATACATTTTTAATTAATTCTATCTTAATTTAGGTTTCTACACAAGATTAAGAATATTTTATCTATAAAATGACCAAAATGAAACAAATTAAAAAAACTTTTACATGGCCCTTAATAGGTAATAGTTTTTAAGAAAGCTTTATTAATCTGTACCCGTTCCTGAGTAAAAACTGGGTGTAAAGCAAAAAAAAAGGGGGCACAATAAATAACAGAGTTTGTACGTTCTTATATTTTTATTTTTAAAAAGTAATCTCAAATCAATAAGGAAATCTGTCTTTTAATTCTTGAGGTATTTTCGCTATCAATTCCTCGTGATTAACGTATTTCGAGGTTCCAAAGACTCCTTGAGCGTTTGGATACGCTACGTCCCTAAAAAAAGGCCTCGTTAAACAATTTTTACCATACAATTAAATGAAATAACCCTTACTTGGAATAATCATATTCTTTCCCGTGTATATCTGTCAGTTTACCCTCCAAGGACCTTAAAATGCCTTCAGGGGCGCATGTGTCCCACCTTTTGCATCCCTTGCTAGCAAATACATAGGCGTGGGCCTTTCCTTCCAGCAGCATTAAAACTTTATGCCCTGCGCCGCCTACCCTGATGATTTCATCCGGTTTTAATGCTTCCAATGCTTTGACTACTGTTGGATCCGAATGGGACCTTGTGGTGGTTATAATGAATTTATTGGAAGGCGGTTTAAATGGGGTAAAACCGCCCACTCCTAAGCCTACCAGACCCCATACAGTCCTTCCTAAAATTATATATAGGGTCACTCAGTACATAAAAGAAAGTCAGTGAGTACCTTGAGTATCTTTTTCAATCTTATAGTTGTAATAGGGTTGATGTATGACACCTCCTATTGCTTTGCCCTTTACTGCGAGCCCTATCAGGACTGTTACATGATCTAGTAGACCCTAAAGTAAAGAAAAAGTACAAAAAAAACACATAAAAATATATTTACCTGGGTATATTCAGAAGTACCATCGAGCGGATCCACCCAGACAACTATATCTTGGGGCTGGATTGTTTGGAGCTCACTGGGACAAGTGCTGGCCAGAACTGAATCATCTAGATCTGTTACTAACCATTCAGAAGGTATCTAAGAAGCAAAGAAAATTGTTTATGGTAATTTAAGTTTAAATTAAGATATCATTACTTCTTCTTCGTGGTTATGGGGTCCTTCTTCCCCTATAATTGTCACGTCAGGGAACTGTTTGGAGAGAGAACCCAGGATGCATTTTTGTGCAGATCTGTCTGCTTCAGTTTGCAAGTCGTTCACATCACTACCCTTTAATCTAATGTAAAAAATAAATTTATACAAATATATTAATACTATACCTTCTCTACAATGCCTAATTCTCCCTTAGTCATTACGTCTTTTATTATATTCCCTGCTTTAACAGCTGCCCTACTTGATAAAGCTAGTAATCTCACAATTAGTGGGGCACTTTGAGCCATTTTTGCTGTGTTAAATATTCTGAACAGTTAAATATCACTGAAGGTACTGGTTAAATCAATTAAACTTTTGTTCTCTTCAAGTAATATTGTTTCCTGAGCAAAAAATATCTTAATTACATGCATGAACAGTTTTAAATATACCTGTACTGATATTTTAAGGAAAAACTGGTTATTCTAAATTGGACGGTAAATTAAATCATGTCCGTGGAAAAAAGCGTGTAGTGAATAATTCGTAATGGAAATTTTTATAACAAAGCAATTGTCAGGGACTTTAAAATCTAAAAAATAATTATTATTTACTTAATTTTGGGTAAATAAAAACAAAGTGTCAGAAAGTGAGAAGTGAGGTTATATGGCTGTGACACCTGTGATTTGACGTGTTTAGAGAAAAAAACTACTTTCATTTGGTAGTTGTAATGTCCTAGATCATATAAAATATATGATAATTTCCGAAAGCTGTTTAAATATTGACAGTAAAGGACAGTAATGACTGGTTAAGTTCTGTGGTAATGACATTTTAAGACGTCAAATGATCCAAAATGGACGGTATTTTGTTATTTGTTTTTATGAAATTAAAAAAATAATTAAAAAAAACTGTTTTCAGATATTTTTAAGAAGGCCAGCTGCACGAATTGTCAAGATCTAATCGACGGTGCTAGGATCGAGTGCTGCGAATGCCCCGTTTTCGACCTTTGTCTTCAGGTACGTTAATGTATGAACAGTCCTCCCAAACTTCTTTTTTGAAATACCTGTTTTTTTTGCAGTGTTTCGCCGATGGAGCTGAAATAGGACCTCACAAGAGCAACCACTCGTACAGAGTTATCGTAAGTTAGAACTGTGCACTGTAATACTTAATGCATTGAAAATATATCATAGGATCATTTGGCCGTAAGGATTTTTGGTGTACATGACCCTTGGACGGCTAGTGAACATTTGAAGCTGTTAGATGCGGTGCTAGGCAATTCTTGCGATAGTTGGGACAGGATTTCCGCAGCAGTCGCAACTAGAACACCAGCAGGTTGTTAGTTTTACTTTATATCTGAAAATTTAGTTGATAATTTTTACTTTCTTATAGAATGTAAAGAAGTATACCTAACAAGGTATGTGAATGGTAATCTCGGCTTAGCATCGTGGGCTAACATTTCTAATTCTATGTTACACGTGGATATAGATGATCAGGGTTCATCATTTGAGAAAGTGTTGGCAAAAATTCCTCCACTGGATGTTACATTTCAACAGGCTGAAATTTTAGGGTTCCAACCCCTGAGAGACGACTACGAAAGGGTATAAAGAGGTTAAATTTATTGTTTATTAAACATTTACTGAGTTTTTTTTACAGAATTGTTATCCAGAGGCAGAGGCCTTGGTCTCACATTTGCAAATAGACGATCCCAGTGAGACAAGCATTGAACAAAGTTTAAAGTTGGATAGGATTAATATGTATTTGGATAAATTAAGGGAGAGACACAGGAGAAAGAGAATTATAAAAGATTATCAGTTGGTTGCAAAGTACTTTGAGAGTTTAAATCCCACAAAGATGCCACCTTCCCCAGCTGAACAGTAAGATTTTTCATTTTTTTTTTTGTTACTGAGTTTAATGAAAGTAAAAATTACAGAGAGCTTAGAGACAAAATGAGGCCCTTTGCACGCTTCATGAACTCTGTGGAGTTTGAGCGTCTTATTTCTAGTTTGACCCGCGAGAGGGAGCTGCGCAAACGGATCAATCACTTGAAAAAGGTCCACGATAAAGGTTTAACTTCTTCTCAGAGTGATGTTGCCATTACCTCAAATTCTGTATGGCCTGGGACAGACTGGTAAGAATAAGTAACATTAATAGAAGCTCCGACATATTCAGTTGGCTTTTTGCTAGGGATATGTTGCCAAGTTCAAGTTACAACAATTGGAAGGTTAACTTGTCGGAAAGCGATGGTACTGTTGAAGAATCTGGCGGTGGTACTGAACTGCGCAAACGGAGCAATCATTTGAAAAAGGTCCACGATATAGGTTCCACTTCTTCTCAGAGTTATGTTGCCATTACCTCAAATTCTGTATGGCCTGGTGCAGACTGGTAAGAATCAGTAATAGAAGAATAGAAGGTCCAACAAATTCAACTGGTTTTTTTCTAGGAATATGTTGCCAAGCTCAAGTTTTGATGATTGGAAGGTTAACTTGTCGGAAAGCGATTCTGAAAACGATGATACTGTTGAAGAGTCTGGCGGTGGTACTACGTTAAACTCTGTTCATTTGATGAAGATGGGAAGTACTTCGAATGCGACGTATTACATGGAACATTAAAAGAATGATATTTTCTTGAATATCAGTGTATTTCTCAGGAATGTTAGGAATTAGGATTTAAAGTATGACTGGTTGCCTATATTCGCAGGAGAAATAATAAATTATTTTGTCTTTTTTTGTGTAGCATAGGAGAGTAACAAAAAATAAGGCTGTTAAGGTTGAATACAGATTTTATTGGTTTAATAATATATTGTTTTTTTAAACCTCATCTTTAAGAATCTCAACTTTTGAAGTAAAAGACACCACTATGTAGAGTTACAATTTGCTGGAATCAGTAATAATTTAAAACTAATTAAATATTGTAATTTTAAACCAAAATTATTAAGTACCAATAGCCATAAAAAAGTAATTATTCTTTGAATTGAAATTTTAAGTAAGCCAGGCAATTGAACTACTTGTTCATTTATTGTTTGGTCATTTTGTTACTAGTATACTTTTTACTTTGTAGAGAAGTCGAAATTTACCTCAATACAGTCGAAAATGTAATTAGAATGAAGAAAAATGTATTTTTTTAGGTTTTGTTTGTTTGTTACACATTTTTTACACGTAATTTTATCCATCCCTGCCGACCATAGAGAAAAGTATCCGAAGGCTGTTCATGTCAAAATTGTCAAAGTCAAATTTTGTTTTGTTTTTTTGGATATGGCTGGTATATATATTTTATTTTTATAAAATTAAGAACAATTTCCACTTGAATTGTATTTTTTAGATATATTCGATAAGGTCAGTTGTACTTATTGCCAGGATGAAATCAACGGCGTTAGGATCCAGTGTTGCGAATGTCCCGATTTCGATATTTGTCTCCAAGTAGGTTAATGTTTTGTAGAGCGTTAGTTTAAAAACATTTATTTTGATTTTCTTTTAAATATATCTTGATTTCTGTTGTAGTGCTTTGCTGTCGGTGCTGAAATAGGACCTCACAAGAACGACCACCCTTATAAATTCGTCGTAAGTAAATAAAACTTGTTCGTTATTTATACCAAAAAAAATTACAATTTTTCTCAACAACAGGATCACTGTGCAGTGAGTATTTTCGGTGGAAGGGGTGCCTGGACTGGGACGGAACATTTAAAATTGTTAGACGCGGCTGAACTCTATTCGTATGGTAGCTGGGACAAGGTAGCAGCTCATGTCGAAACTCGAACAGCCGAAGGTTAGCTCCAGTTACAATATTTCTTAAAATTCAACTAAATAATTCCTTATTTCACTACAGAATGTAAGGAAGAATACATTGCAAGGTACCTCAACGGTAATATAGGCTTAGCAACTTGGGCTGAAGTCTCTAAACCTAATTTATACATGGATTTAATCGAGGATGAAGGTCCTTTATCACAAAAAGCTTTATCAAAACTGCCTCCACTTGATGCCACGCTCGAAGAAGCTAGAGTTTTAGGATATAAACCTCACAGAGACGATTTTGAAGGGGTATAACATAATTTTTAATATCCTTAAAGTGTATTAAATCTAGTTAGAGATGTTTTATCATGTTTTTTTTTAAGGAATATAATCCAGAAGCTGAAAGATTGGTGTCCGATTTGCAGTTAGATGAGCAGGGTGAAACTGAAATTGAGAAATGTTTGAAATTAGCTAAAATTGATATGTATATAAGGAGATTGAGGGAGAGACAGAGAAGGAAAAGGATTGTGAGGGATTATCAGTTGGTGGCAAAGTATTTTGATAACTTAAGGAGGGATCCTACCAAACCGCTGTATCCTCAAGCAGAAAAGTAAGTAAAAATACCTAGGAAATAAATAAAATAAATAAATGTTTTTTACGGACCAGCCATTTTCTTACAGAATAAAAATCTTACATCTCAGGGCACCCCTAAAAAATTCCTCTGGGATTAGACACTTATGTATTAAAAGTAAAGAAATATAATACAGTAGACCCTTCCCTTTTAAAGAGATATCATATAAAGAATCTAATGTAACTCCCAGGATATATTAATAAATTTATTATTGAAAATTTTAGGGAGCTTAGGGACGGAATGAGACCCTTTGCTCAATTTCTGAATTCCGGCGAACACGAACGCCTAATTGCCAGCGTAAACCGCGAGAGGGAGCTACGTCACCGACTCAGCGAGCTAAAGAGGTACCGTAGCCTCGGCTTGACGACTCACGAGGAGATCGTCCACTACGAACAGCACATGGCCTTCCAGAAGCTGCAGGTCAAACAAGGAAAAGTGGTAAGTATAGTATTTTCCGTTTGAAGTGTACCTATCCCCATTTTTTCTTAGCGACGACGCGGTAAACTGAAATTCCATCGGCGCAAGAACCACGTGGCCGTCAGGAAGAGGTTCAGGGTAAGGCAGAGGGGCGGGGCGGGACATAAGGGCGTGGCCAGGATCGGGCGAAGCGCGGGCGTAGACTCCGCTCACGATGATGACGGCGAGGATGACGATGATGGAGAGACTTTGGATGAAGACGATGACGTAGAACAGTAGTAACTTACATGTAAGAATAATAATTATATAAATAATTGAAACTGATATTTATTTTCACAACAATACACCAAAAATGTTAATATTGTTTATGTATTTAAAAGAACAAAACAATATTACAGTAAACTATAAAGGTCGTTTTTTAGTGTATGGATTGTTGTGAAAGCAAACGTTATACAAAGACTGTTTAGTAAATACAGATTTTTATTTATTTTAATAAAATTCTGTGTTGTTTTTTTTATATCACCTACTATACTAAATAGTCCAATAAAATAGGCCTTTAGCTACGAAGTTTTAGGAAAAACTTGAATTTATGATAAAAGTTACTTTGAAAGATCTAAAAACGAACAGTGAAAGATTTTTTTCAAATAAATAAATAAAATTATTTTTTCGTAATTTTGGAGAAACGGTAAGCACTAGAAAAAAAAGTTCAAATAAAAGTTGTGGAGTGTCCAATTTCATATAAAAATGGTCTCTATACTTTTTTGCTCAAACCAAAATTAACCGAAATAGGGTGTCTAGCTAGAAACTAGGGGACAGCTTTTATCGAAACATTTTTTTTAAGTCCTTACCGTTTCTCTGAAATTTGGAAAAAACACTTTATTTATATTTTTTTTCTAATAGTTTTATAATTTTCCAAATTGAAAAAAAAATGTTAAATATATGAATTTTTCAGTAACTTATAATACCTCGGTTAATTTTGATCTGAGCAAAAAAAGTATAGAGGTCATTTCTACGTAAAATTTGACGCTCCACCACTTATTTGAATTTTTTTTTTCTAGTTCTTACCCTTTCTCCGAAATTTGGAAAACAGGATTTTATTTATTTATTTCACACCTTCTCGGGGGTGAATTAAAAAAAATCTTTCACTATTCGTTTTTAGATCTTAAGAAGTAATTATATTAATAACTTATTTATTTTTTGCTCATTTTTGGTGCACTATAAAAACACGGATATTTTTTCTGAACATTTACTTTTATTATGAAAAACTTGCGAATAATACAATGTATAAAAAAACTCGTAAAAAAACTTAACTTACAAATATAATCGAATATATCAAAAATTTCTAGCCTATCAATCGACAAAAACATTTTTTAACCGCCACAATTTCGTCTGACTAGAAAAACGAAAAACGTCTTTGAAAAGAACATAAATATTTGGTTCTTTTTTTTTTATTAAATAGGCCTGTATATTTAGTAAGTCTTAATAATATTGACTCTTGTTTGAATTACTGTTAAATACCATTTATTTTTCATATACCGTGTAATTAAACAAAAAAAAATCGTCACAGTAGGCATTTCTGTCTGATTTTTCATTTAGTCATACTGTATATAATTTTTTTAATAAATAGGTCTGTATAATAGTGTAGAGTAAAAATGTTGGTCCACAGTAGTAGCTACTAGTAGGCAGTTTTTTTAATTATTTTTTTATTATATATTCAAAAAGCCAAAACATTGACTGTTGTACTACCAAGTAACAGACCAAATATCAGTGAAATTTTTCACGACCCAATTGAACAAAAACACCCTTCCTGTCAATAGATATGTATGTATAATACCGTCTTCAGCTGAAAATATACGAGAAAAATGAGATCAATAACAACGAACGTTTTTTTTTGAGCAACAAACAACGAAAGCGACGGGACTCGGGGAATCCCCAGTCTATCTTTTTTTTTTCAGTCAAATTCAAGGCTCTTTCGTCCCGGTCATCATAACGTACACGTTCTCCTTTATCACAGTAGTTTCGGGACCACCCATGGGGATGTAGATATTCTCGGGGGACTCTTGTCTGGGTTTCCCAGGACTCATAACAACGTACTCCGACTCCGGAGAGTCCCGATCTCCGGATCTTCCGCCGAAGAGTTGGGACATTTTAGAGAGATCCCTGGCCGGTAAAGTGTTGCAACGTTGCTTCACAGGTGACATTGCACTCTCTTGTCTGCGTCTGAAAAAAAATGAGAAAATAGTACCGTACGATCGTGAAAAAAACGGCGTCAGCGATGGTTATGAAATGAAGATCGCTGTCATTTTATATGTAAATTTATATGGGAATTTTTTTCGATGTTCATTTCGTAGCCATCGCTGACGCCGTTTCTTTTTCGATCATACGGTATATTGTTTTGTTAGGAGTAAAAATGATACTTTTTGTGGCAAGACTGTACGTATGACATCACAGGCCAAGCATAAAAAGTCATTTTTTTTTTCAAACGCCACAAATAAGTTTTAAACAATTTTAAACGTTCCAAATAATTTTTATCTAAAAAATGTCTCTAGGTAAAAGTCGCTACGAGCAACCGTTCTCAAGATATTTAAAATAGAAGTAGTCAATACATGATATTATTGACAAAAGATAAACACGATTTGGGAAATTTTTATTTTTTTAAATTAATCATAAATTTTTCTGCAAAAAAATGATGAAACAGTTTCTGTTGAACTTTTGGCACAAAAAAAATTCAAATTTCCAATGATTTCAATCTTCTAATAACTATTTAGTCAACATGTTTAATTTATTTCAATGATGACAGGTATAGATAATTTCAATTCCAAATATCTCGAGAACCATTACTTGTAGCGATTTTTACCAAGAGATCATTTTTACGTAAAAAAACGTCGTTAATGTATATTTTCTCACTCAGTAGTTTTATACAGGCACGGACGAAAAGTGATTACTCTTCAAAACAGTTAAAAAAGATGTAGGTGGCGCCCCCTACAAGTAGGAGTCACATTGACATCGAAATCAAATTTCTCATATTAAAAAACCCCCAGATACCAATTTTCATCCAAATACCGAATTTAGTTCAGAAATTCTAAGGAAAAAATCGAAATAAAAATAAAACTTCTACACCCTGTATTCCCGAAACGAAGAATTTTCGGACATACATTTATACGAACTTTTTTACTTATTTTTATGTGCAAAATATGCTGCCGAAGTTTCCGGAATACAGTTCGGACCACCCTGTATAATGACTTACAAGGTATTACTTTCAAATCTTTTTATATTATTTCGAACGTTTGAAATTATTTAAAAAATATTTGTGGCGTTTGAAAAAAAATAGCATGTTCTATTTGGAGTAAAAATGACTTTATGCCTCGCTTGTATGTCAAACGTACAGCTTCGCCACAAAAAGTGTCATTTTTACTTTTAATAAAACAATATACTATTTTGTATTGTCAATCACGTCGCAAAAATTAATACTTTTGTGACGTTTGAAAAAAAAACGAATTTAATATGGTAAAGTTCTTAGACTATTAAATATTATAGATACGGTCTTCACATTATAGCGGTGACGCCAACATAAATAGAGGTATTGAAACGTCAGTTGAGGGTTATTCAGGACGTCAAAACTTACCTGTTTAGGGTCATACTGTCAAAAGTCCTGGGTGGCAAGGGAGGCGGCTTGAAAAACTTGGCGAACCTCCTGTCAAAGATCATTTCTAAAGGATTTTCGTAGACGTGACACAAGTGATGGTTGTCCAAATCTTTTTTGACTGTAGGTTGAGTATTGGGGGGTTCATCGGGTATTTCTTCGTAGATTCCCGAGGCTAGGGATATCCCCGATTCGTTTCTAGGTAATTTGACAGTCTCTTGTTGCTCTCTCAGGTCGGGGTAGGAGTCTTCGGTCTCGCTGCCTCCCGGTGTCTTGGTAACTATGCCCATTCCAAGCTGGACCAGGTTGGATTCAGTCTGTTAAAAGGATGTAAATAAAATATTGTTTATTAAGTTTTTTACAATTATTCATTTAAGAAAAATTCAATACAGTTACATCATGTAATATCCTAGAGTATATTTTAATATCTACTACATTTTTTGTCTCTTGTAAAAAAATGCTACATCGCATAGGTTTTGAGAAAGAAATTGGAATTTAATATCTTAAAAAAATATTTATTTGATAAGTTTGATGCCCTTTTACAGACAAACGAGGCACTTTTGAATACAGGAAAATTGTGTCCAATGAACTTATTTTGATTACAAAAATACGTAGTAGTTCTATGTCCACGGAATATTAGGACACCCTGTATAAATTTAGATATAATGTCAGGGCAGGGCAAAATTGACTGAAGTACTAATGACTTTATAATTATTATACGATAACAAAATGTTTATATATTAGATTACAACCCCTGTGTAATCAAAAAGACTTATTGGTGTATTTATTTTTTTCTTATTCCTTATTTGCATTTTATTATTCTTCATTTGCATTTTATGACACTATTATTCTTTTCCCTTTTATAAAGTAGTCTGCCTCAGAATTTCTATTTATCTTATAGATTTATGTAAAAGGATAATGATAGACAGGTAAAATTTATTTACACATAAAAATGGTACTTAGCTATCAGGATCAATAGAACAGGTTATAGTGGTATTATTCTTTTTCCTATCTCTACATAATTTAGTTATTGTGGCTATAAAATTTTATGTAGTACAAAGTCCTGAAGTTTTATAACACTTACCTGAGATTTCAGTACTTCTGTGTCTTCTGAACTCGGTACTCCAGAATCGTCACTTCCGGTTTGGCTTCGGAAGCACAGCGGGCTGTCGGGAACTCCAGAGTTTCTGTTTATGCATAGATCACCCTCACTGCGACTAAACCTAATAAAATACCCCAAAATTAATATATAAGCTATTATTTTTATTTGTCTTAATCACTTACCGTTTTGATTGCAGTCCCGAGCTAAATCTCGTATTCTGACCTCGCGAAATCAAATACCGAAGCAATTTGGGCCCTTCTGGACAATATACGTACAATTGACCGGGTCCTGCTGAAAATTCACGACTGGTGTGCATCACAATGATTTTTTTATCATCCTTTTGCTCACAGGTTGCTTGCAGGTGGAACTGATGGAAGTGATACCATCTCCAGCCTGCTTTGAGCCTCCCTGTACACGGGTCGTTGATTATAATTTCTTGAGAGTTGCTGTTAAGGACCCCATACAGTCCTAGCATGCCTGCGTTACGTGAATGGGCGTTATCGACTAACGAAACGCGAAAACTGTTTTCTCCCACTAAAAAATCATTATTTGTTTAGTTCTTTGTTATTAACATTGATGGCTTATGGCTTACCTGGTATATAGCTTGCGATACTTAACATCCTCCGAATACAAATCATCCATTCTTGGGAGTCTGTTTCGTTGGAACCTGCTAGGAAAATAAGTGGCTTCTTCGTTTTTAACAGATTGAACACTCCAAAGGCAAACTGTTTGGTTTTTGAGTCAGTTCTGCATAAAGTGGCTGATCTGGGCACTTGTAAACAACTCAGAACTCCTCCTTCTTCAGAAGATTTTAATTTCAGTTCGATACCAGCTTCTATATCGTCTAGACGCCTTATTTCGCACCACTGTTTCTGCCAGGCCTTCAAAATTAACGAAAACATTAGTGTTTATTTTGTTCAGAACTGTTAGTGTAATAATAAGCTTTGATGTTTTGGTACTTACTCGCCATGGGGTAAAGCCTCTGCGACTTTTCGACGATATTTTCACTTCTAAATATCCACTAAAAACATTTTCATTCATGGCAAACGTTAATTTACTTGAATAATTCCAGAAAATCGTTCTGAAAATAATAAGGGCAAAGTCAATTTGATGGTTCCTTGACCCCTCCCTTGACAATTACAACAAAATCCCGCGAAAATATTTAGAATTCCTTTCTAGTGAGTTATTATTTACTTGGTATATATCCGTCCTTTTTGCTACTAGTATTGGATCATTTTTTGTCTCTTTTTGGGTACTTCTACATGTAGTGATTAATTTTAATACTAGATGGCTCTGAATAAGGATAGTTAGGAACCTGTAAAAAGTAGATTACTGTAAATAAAATAACGACGTTTTATTTACTTTTCACTAGATGTCACGACAGATAATTTTTGCAGATACCTATATAAACGTCACGTTAGTGTAACTAGCTTACGGCTGATGGCGCCACTAATACAATTTTAGTTCCGAAAAATTCCGCTGGAATAATTTGGCGCAGCGATCGTTTTCGCGGGCTTAAAAAAGTAATTTATATTTTATTATCTATGTTTAATAGACAAAATTCTTGTAAAGACAATCAAATAACTACCCAGAGTATAGTATTAAAGGCGTTTAAAAATGATGGAAAACAATCTATATATCTACAAAATTCTATTTGTTGAATGATTTAATCGTTATTTTTTTTGACATTTTACTGTAACCTCAAATATTGACAAGTGCCGATGGTCGAGTCGATGGCATGATCGTATGTTTTTACAATTATTAATTAATCAAACAAGATTATTTAATCGATAACAATCACCGGAAATAAAGCACTTGAAGAGGCCCTTAAAGATATTTTTTTTTTTCAAGTTATTTGCCACATATCATTTCAAAATTGATCGAAAACGAGCAAAGATGTCTGCGAAACTGAAGGCAAGTGTGCTATTATTGACCTTAATTTGAAATAATGACCTGTTTTTATTATTTTAGATTGGTATAATAGGAGGATCTGGATTGGATAATCCAGATATTTTAAAAAATCGAACTGAAAAAAAGGTTTCAACACCGTTTGGTGATCCTTCTGATTCCTTAGTCCTTGGTGAAATTGATGGTGTCTCTTGCGTTCTCCTAGCAAGACATGGCCAAAAACACGATATTATGCCTAGTAAGAGGAATTTTTGGTTGTTTTTTTAAGGTAAATAATGATGAAACTTTTTATATAGGTAATGTGAACTACAGGGCTAACATTTGGGCATTAAAACAAGAAGGGTGTACCCATGTTATAGCCACGAATGCATGTGGGTCTCTTCAGGAAGATATACCCCCAGGAACTTTGGTTATTATCGATAATTTTATAGACAGGTAATTTTTTACTATTTTAATTGTTTTTTTTTTGATAAAATATTTTTAAGGACTACAAAACGTATACAAACCTTTTACGATGGTGAACCAAATAACCCTAAAGGAATATGCCACCTTCCTATGGAGCCAGCATTGTGTGAACATACCAGAAAAGTTAGTTATAATTGAAACATTTAACTAACTTTGTAAAATTTGTTTGTTTGTAGGTTATATTAGAGACAGCCAAAAGTATTAACCAGGAAGTACGAGATGGGGGTACCATAGTCGTAATTGAAGGGCCCCGTTTTTCCAGCAAAGCTGAAAGTACCATTTTTAGAAGTTGGGGTGCCCATTTAGTCGGGATGACTACAGTTCCCGAAGTAAGTATTTTTAAATGTTATGATTTTGTTTAAATAATAAGTTTATGGTATTTTAGATTGTCCTAGCCAAAGAGGCCGGCCTGTGCTATGCCGTGATAGGCATGGCCACAGACTACGATTGTTGGAGAGACACAGGTGAAAAAGTATCTCACAAATATGTACTTCAAGTATTTCAGCAGAATGTTAAGAAGGTACTGTCTCTGTTGAGGGCTTTAGTACCTCGTATGGCCAAGGAAGATTGGGAGGAGACAGTTCAAAATGCTCAGGTAGGTCAAATTATCGTAAAGTAGGGTTTTAAAATTAATATTTATTTATTATTTATAGGCATTAGTTCAGGAGAGTATAATTCTACCCTCTGATTAACTGAAGCTTTAACTAAAGTATTTAAATCAATTCTTTTTAGGCACCAACAAGTATTTTGCACGTTATATTTTATTAGAGAATTTTAACTTTGTTTTAAATATACAGATATAAATAAATATCCAATAGTTATATTATTTATATTATTCCTATCTTAGATTCCTGTTTTGGAGATTTTGAATAATTTTTTACAATATTTTAGAAGAATTATAGCTATTTTTTAACTGTAAGTTACGTCAATAAGTTTACTAATATAAAATTCAATTATTTTGAACATTTTAAATAAGAATCTCGTTTGTAATTCAATAATGTTTTGTCTAATAGAAAAACGTTTCGATTTAAATTTTTCCTATAGCCCGCCTATGGAGTCTCTCTCTAGTTTAAGCCCTCCATAAGCCCGCCTAAACGATCGCAGCGGTAAATAATCGTGGTGGTATGTCCTGTAACTAAATATAGATGTGGTGCCATCGGCCGTAATGCATCGCAACTACGCCACTATTCAGTGTAGAGTTCTGTAAAATTGCCTATGCGGGCATCTAGAGAAAGGTGGCTGTACTGTAGCTTTTTAGATTGGAGAAATCTACTATTTCGAGAGTGGCGCCATCGGTCGTGAAGTAGTTAAACTCCGACAACATTTAAGAGAAATCTGTATTTTTAGGGTGCCAAAAAGTGTTTGATCAGAGCCATCTATTAATTTTATTTAACACTATTTATGATTTTTTAACCGAAAAAATATGTCGTGTTAATTTGCTTTGAAATTTTAGCTAGAAAAAGTGATTTCATTGTGTATTATTTGTTCATAAACTTTTCCTAAGGCTCTGCTCGACCTTTTGTAATAGTGAGTACCGTTTATTTCATGTTATTTTACATATTTTCTGACCTTAAAAGTTTTTTTTCCGCCGGCCATCATGGCGACTCTTGGTATTTAACAGTATTTTTAGGTAATAATACTGGTTTTGATACGTTATTTTGCAATCCATTACTACATAATTGAAGACCTGAATACATATTACAATTTCTGTTTGTATTTGTTAGCATTGTCTTTGTTTATTTTTGGACTTGCAATCTATCATGGAGACCGGAGTTTTTTCAGATATTAACATTTTTCTATGTCTAGTACATTATTTTCTATGGTTTGACATGATAAAACATATTTTCTAAATGTCTGGATATATTTGATTCTAACTATTTCATTATTTGTAGCATTTTATATAGTATATTACATAATGTTTTTTATTCTTCCCATTTTTTTTAAACTACGCATTTACAAATGTCTTGTTTTTGTTGTATTGTTGTTTAATTTTAGGAAAGGTAAACACATATAGTTATTATAATTTTTAGATACATTAGCCAGGAAAAGATCTACTATAAGGAATTTATTTTTCTGGTTTTTTTGAAATATTTTTTACATAGACATAATAAAAAACTTTGTTTTGATTTTTGAGTGTCTGCGTATTCATGAAGCTATTCTAAAAGACTAGGATTAGGATATAATGAAGGATTAAAAATTACTTTAAAACTCCCACAAATATATTTTCTGGATGCAGAACACTAATCTTTAGTTGAAAACTGTGATTTTTGAGTATCCTCAATTTGTTTTTTTTTTGTTTTAGATATAAACAAACACTGATATCACTCACGAGCACACAATCTTCACGTGTCCTTTCACAGAAGAGGAAATGATGAAGATTTCAGACAAAAGTGTTTAATTGGGATTGGAATATGATGAGGCCTAATCGTCGACTAAGAGCTAATTCTGATTCAGGAAAGTAAATAAGCATTGGAAGACAAAGATTTATGAAACATGGAGGTGTACGTAACACAGTTCAGCCCTATCTACAACAACTTTGAAACTAGACAAAGTAAGTCTTATTTTTTATAAATATCTTATAGGAAAAATATCTTTCTTGTAGTTTTTTTTATTTATTTTAGTCACTTTATTGAATATAAAAGAAAACCAGTACAAAATAATTGAATTTAATTTTTTTTATTTAGTTTTACTGGTTGCCTACCAAATCAATAATATTTATTTTTAAATGTAAATTTCAGATTTATGTACTGTTTTATCGCACTTGCTTCACTGTGATCTGTAGATATCAAGAAATAATATGATTCTTTTAAAGAAATAGTAGTTTATCATTTTCTTTTTTCATTTCAGAGTTGAAAACCATCTGTTTTTCCTGAATGTTTCTTACAAGAATTTTGAAAAGCAGTGGCTAGAGTTGTTGATGTAATCAGAAGAGTTATTTGAATTAGAGTTTCCTACAGTGCTATACAAGTACCAGACACAACAGAAGATATGGATATTGTTTAATTAAACAGTTACATATGGAGCAAATAAATCAAGGTAAATATAAAAGTATTATTGCCACTAAAAGAACAGTATAAATAATAAATAGTACTATTCTTTTTATGCCGTTTACAAATTATCAAACAATATACACCATACGTGGACAAAATACACTATATATGTGTATTACTCACAATCTTACTAGTGTTTCTGTGTTTTTTTTATGCAAAGCATGGTAGATAATAAATAAAATTAATTATTTTCTTTGTAACATTATTAAGAAATAAATGGCATAAATTAAAGCTATTAATTATCAGTGATTTCAAACTTTTTGCGCATTCACCATTTTCTTCAAAGGTAAAAATTAAATTATATCTCTTATTATCTTTATCTTTACTCTCATTATTGAAATCTATTCATTAACATAGTCTTTTCGCATCCTTTCAAAGAAGAGGTGATGGGGTGATCTCAGACGAGGCAGCTTAAGTTGGGAGTTCAGAGTGACTGGTGAGGCTTAATCATCGACCAAGGGTTAAATTTGATGCAGGAAGGTAAATAAGCATCGGGAAATAAAGATTTATGGCAAATGGAGGCTTATATAACACAGTCCATCTCTGTCTACAACTACAACTTTAAAACTTAAAAAGTAAGTCTTATTTTTTGTTAATATATTATGTATTTCACATAGTTTATATTTATTTTAGTCCCATTATTGAATATACTTAAATCAAAACCAGCATGTAATTTAATTTAGTTCTCTTTTAGTTATTAATTTTCTTGTTTCCATACCCAATCGTTTAAAAAATTGAAATTAAATCCAACCAAACAAATTATAGCATTGTTTTTTTTCTAAATTTGAATTTTAAATGGATCTACTGTTTTAATGCACTCACTTGACAAACTATGAGCTAGTAAATATTAAAAAATATTATGTATATCAATTATTTTTAAAGGAATTAATAATAACTATTAGCATTAACTAAAGTATATGCAACTGTGTAGAAATACTGTGTAATATATAATTTAATAATTCTATTTAATAGGTTTTATCTTCGTGGCAGTTGTTGGTTATGTCCTTTTTCATCTGCAACAGTTTGAAGAAGATGCCAGTACATTGATTAAATTCAACGTTCAACAGTGGAATGGGGATGAAATTCAACATTGAAGTGAAACTAAATAATTTTAGGTAAATTATACTATTTTTTTAAACGAAATATTTAATAATATTTATTTTTTTTTACAGAATTTGTACAACAAATCTGTGGCTGTATACAGTTCCAGGGCAGTACATTTATCCTTTTGATGGATATTACCAACAATGCATCAGGTCTTATAAGTATATCTAAAATTTTATTTCTTTTGGGTTTTTTATTTTAACTGGTATTTAATGTTCATCACAGTGGGTTTCGAGTTTTTTAAATTTAATTAAGTAGGAAAAAAATCCAAGCAGTCTCTGAGTTACGTTTTTATGATTCCTTATTATCATAGACAAATTCAAATCATCTGTTTTTAATTTTGGCCATTTTTTGGCTTTTGGCTATTTCATTTTCTTTTTGGTAAAATACCATCCACTTAGAACTTTACTTCAAGTTGTTTTTGGTTTACTTTTATTTCTCTATAATAGCTTCACTGCCAATTTTTCTTGATTATAGCAGTAACTGTATTTCTATAGGTTTTATTTGTTTGGTAGATATACCATTTACTTAGGATTTTACTTCGTTTTGTTTATGGTTAACTTTTATTTTTCTATAACTTCATTTGATTTCTATATTTTCTTCATTGTAGAAATAATATTCATCGATCCTATAAAATATTCCATTGACTGCATTTCTATAAGTCTTATTTTATTTGTATTATTTCTCTTATGGTTTCATTTGATTCTTATATTTTTTGGCTGTGTAATTTCTTGTGCAGAAGTTTACTTTTGATGGATTTCATTTTCATATCGTTTTTCCCAGATCATATACCATGAATTGCTATAATTTTATGGATTCTGTTGGTTTAGTTTGCCTGTTTTTGAATATAATTTATACACACTTAAAAATCTCACAATAATTATTATTATTAGGACTATTTTCCAATTAATTCCTGGCGGGTTCGCCATTTATGCAAAAAATCACTCGTCTACAGACGATGTTACTTCTCTTTGCCTTTGCATTTTTTTCAATGAATTTTCCTAAGTAACATCGACTCCAGAGCATCACAGCTAGCCTCCCCCCAAAAGAGGAGGCCCGGGTCGCCCCCTAACCCTGATGTTCGGGCATCGATGACCTATGTAGCATGCATAGGTACCCAAGGGAGTCACCACCCTCTGGTTTACGAGCTAGGTGTTCTAACGCTAGAGGCTTCGGCCGGATACGACCTGGCACCCAAGCTCCGAGACTTCTTCGTGCACGTATTCCGTGACCCTCGAAGGGGCAGGGGGCGGGATATCGGACACATTGAAGATGATGAGGGGGGTCCGCCTGTAGGGGGTCCCGGTGGATGTCCGTCCGACGGGTGACGTGGGTGACCCGAGACGAGGCTGCTTAGCTGGAATGGGAACTGACTGGTGAGGCTTAATCGTCGGACAAGGGTTAAATCGGATGAGGGGTGGCGAACTTGGTGCTCTGGGGGATTTTTCTTCATGTACTTGAGTCCTGTTTTGACGAGATATTCGTTAGAGGAGGCTAAGCATAACTTTTTGTCAATTTTCCTGTACTTATTTATATTTTTTGCTTCGTCTTGCTTTTGGCCTACCTCTCTATTTTTGTCTGTCATATTTTTTTACTGCTGGAATATCATTAACCAATTCTGTATATACCCTTCCAATGACTCTCCTGTACATTTGT